GAGAAGACATCGGGGGGATTTGCTGGCAACTTACAAATATATCAGGGTGAACATCAGGGGCTAGGTGAACAACTATTCACTGAAGCGCCCCAAGGGAAAACCAGGAGCAATGGTCATAAAGTCCTAGGAGAAGGTTTCAGATTGGATATAAGGAAAAACTTCTTCATGGTTCATGTGACCAGACTCTGGAATAGACTCCCAGTTGGGGTGTTGAAGGCACCTGCCCTGGAGATCTTCAAAAGGAGACTGGACACATACTTTGCTGAGGTTATTGGACCCCAGCACTTTTTCCTTCCCAGAGCAGGGGGGCTGGACCTGATGATCTCACAAGGTCCCTTCTAGCCCTAAACTTCTGTGAATCTGTAAAATTATGCAGGTACTTTGTATGTTTGGGGGATGGGTGTGGGGTGTGTGTGTGTGGGGATGGATTTGTGAAGGTGTGGGGGGATGTGGATGTGTGTGTGGGGGGGAGGGGTTTAGAGCCTGGAGAGGGGGTTTCCCACATACCCTGGCAGGACATGGGATACTGCAGGTCAAGAGTGAAGGGCAGCAGCAGGGCTGGGGGTGCTGTGGCTTGGGAGTGACGGGCAGACAGACACACACACTGCCCAGCAGGTAAGTCTGTGGAGGGGAAGGGGCGTAGGGGAGAGAAGGGGTGGGGGGAGTATAATCGATGCCCTCATGGTGAGAGAGGGAATGGGACAGAGGCAGGGGAAAGGGCTGGGGTGAATGGGATGGAGCCACAGTTCATCTAGGGGCACCGTGGGGGGGCTACTCCCACCATGGTGTGCACCCCGGTGGAGTCATGGGGAGGTACGTGCCCCCCAACTTTGTGCATGGGGTGGAGGCAGGCTGCTGTTGCATGCTGGGCTGTGTGCTTTCTTTGCCCCAGGAGCTGTGCACTGGCTGCACCACATCCCCTGCCTGCCCAGCGGCGAGAGGCACATGGCATCATACAGCTCCTGGGGAAAAGGCAGAGGGGTGCAGAGCCCAGCCCGCAGCAGCAGCTTGCCTCCACCCCATGCACAAATCTGGGGGGTGCATACCCCCCATGCCTTTCCCAGGGGTGCACACAGCAGCAGGAGCAGCCCCCCATGCACCCCTGGATGAGCCATGGCTCCATCCCATGATGCGCCCTGGAGCCCCATTCACCCCAGCTCCTGCTCCTGCCCCATTCCCTCCCTCACCATGGGGGTCGTGATCTGCCTGCCCCCCCAACTCTTCCCTCCCCCACACCCTTTGCCCTCGACACACTTACCTGCTGGGCACTGCTCCACATGCTGCCAGGCTGCGTTCCTGGCCACCTGCAGGCTGCAGCTGTCTGTGCATGCCCCTCCCCCCTGTTGCAGCCACCCAGATTCCATGCCTAGTCTGCCCTGTGGTCCTCTGTGCTGTCACTGCTGCCCTGCAAGGCAGCTCAGAGGCAGCGGTGACAGCAGTGGAGTGAGCCCAGGTGTGGGCTCCAAAACCATATGCTCAATTAATTAATTTTAAAAAAATAATGTGAACAATTAATATGTTAATTGCGTGCATTAATCATGATCAATTGATAGCCCTAGACCCAAAGCTTTCTCTGTTTGCCATTAGAAAATGAGGACTGATGCTCAGAGGTGACCAAGCTGTAGCACAAGCACTACAGGTGGCATGGGCAGCTTTGGTGCATGACACATGACAGGTCACAGGGAGAAGACAGATAGAGCAGGAAGCAAAAGGCAGTGCAGGAAGGAGATCAAGCAAAAGATCACAGAGTGAAAAGCAAAAGGCACAAGAGCAGATCAGGCAGAGGAAAAGGATTGGCATGGCATTCAGGGAGGGTGCAGAGCCTTTCAAAAGATTGGCCTACATTGCTCCAGTTTATGCTCATGTCATGGGAATCAGATTTCAACCCAAACTACTTCTCTGCCTTAATGAAGTACAGCTGTGCTTTACTAATAATTCTGAAAGCAGAGGAAAGAATTTTTCTCTAACTGTCATCTGTTCTAGGGCAAGGTGAATGCAGGAACTTTCTGCTCATTCCAGGCACTACTACTGACTGAAAAATCTATGTCACTGTTTGGATCTTGAGTAAGCAAATACTCTTGGAATGCGTCATGTTGTATTAAGTCTTATGAAAAATACTTTCTTTAGCGCAGAGAACAATCAGGAGCACAGCTGGAAAACTTTCCACATCATGCAAGATACTGATTCTACATATTCCTCTCTGGCTGACGATTGCTACTGCCTTAACAACTGAGATAAACTTTAGTTTTCTGAGAGGGCTCCTGCCCATTACAAAGTAACTGGAGGACTCCGTCCTGGAACAATTGGTAAGTTTAGTGCAGAAAAGTTGCTACAGAAGGAGGTATTTCTACATAGACTCAACAGATCCCTTTTCCTGCTCTCCAAGACTCCCAGTCCTCAGTATTCCTTCTACCATGTTTTTCTCTGCCCTTTCCTCCCCAATATTATGCCTCGCACATCTCCTCTTCCTTCTACATGTCTCTGTTTTTTGCCCTCTTACTATGAATCTTCCTCCCCCTTCTTGAGGAATTTTCTTTTCATTTCTAATAACTCCTTCTCCCTCCCCTACTCTTGAACTGTTAAGACACCTTTGAGAAATAAATGGACTTGACAGTAAAATTAATAGCCAAAATAGAGCAGCAAAGGATGACTTTGGGACTCCAAATAAAAAGGGGGAAGGGAGATGGTTCTCTTATGACTGTGACACTCAGGCTTTGCACAGACATTACAGCTAGAACTTCAGGAGGCTAAATTGGGTTAAACATGTCCTCCCCCCAATCTAACTCAGTAATTAGATAGGTGCCAGGAGCTTGATGTAAGGTAAGTCAGGGTAGGAGGAGGGACAAGCAGGATCAGGGGGCTAGCTGTTTCCAAAGGGGGCCTGGAGGGATTGGAGAGGCTCTCTGATCCCACAAAACTCTCTCTCTTCCCCTACACCCTCCCCCCCCCTCCCTTCTACCTGATGTTGCCAAACTGCCCCAAATTCTGCAAACTGTTCCCAGGGCTATCTTTACTGGCATTCACCAGTGCCAGGAGTTTGACTGAGGTGAGAGGGGAAGGAGGGTTGTTGGGGCTGGCAGCTTTGTAGGGGGTGGGATTGACAAGACCAAGGGAGGACTGGTGGTTCTGTAAGGGGGACTGGCAGGATTGGGTGGAGCTCTCTCTTTCCCCCTAACCAGGGGCTAATTTTTAGCCTCCTGATCCCTCCCATCCTAGACAAATAACCCCTCCCCTGGTAAATCAACCCCCACAATCCTGACCATCCCTCCCCTCACCCTGACTTACTTCAATTGGTTCCTGGCACCAGCCACCACCAGTAAAATCTGCACCTGGAGCAGCTTGCTGGATTGTGGGGGTTGGTGGGCTCGGGAGGGCTAGTTGGTCAATGAGAGAGGAGTGGCTAGGGGGCTAAAAATAACCCAGTGCCAGGGGGTCTAAGAAAAGTGCAGCCCCAGGACTGAGGCCAGCAGCAGGGCTTTCCCAGCTCCAGGGCTGCATTCAGAATATATACAGAAGTTCAGTTAGACTGGTCTAGCTGTACCCAATCTAACTTAGTGCACCTTTGAGTTACAGTTAAATTAACTCAGGTCAGCTATTTTTTGACTGATCTAACCATCCTGGAACTGCTGTACAGTTTGCACTTAGATCGACTTAACTAGGGATCAAAGTGTAAGATCCATTCATGAGCAAACTAAATTAGATTGGGTGGCCATTTTTAACACAGTCTAAGCTCCCCCTAACTTCCCTGAATGTCTGTACCTACCCTCAGAGTTTGATTTTCAATGGACCACTTCAAACACAACTGCAAAATATCTGCTTTGCCAGCACAACTAGGCATTTACAACCACAAAATTAAAAGGAATTTCTCTTCACTTATACACACAAATGTTTAGTTTTTCATCAAAACATTTACTGGAAAACAGACAGAAAATAGCTTCTTTGGACTGACTTATAGCTTGCATCATAGATACAATCCAACAAGTCACTCCCAAATGAACACCAACCAGCAGTTGTTCCTAGACAATAAATATCCTTTTGTTGTGACATGTTACACAGGACACTGGAAGAAACTGTGTTAGAGCTGGTGAGTGGAATAGCTTCCTTCAGTTCAGGCTAGATGAGGGAACAAATGAATCTACCGTTGCTTAATGAAAACAGAAATAAGAACTACTATTCAAAATACATGCCATCTATAAGGACAATATAACCTCCCCTTCGCCCCGCTCTTTGAATTATGTCATTTTAGGGGTTTCAGTGGGGACTGAAATGAAATGCAGGTGAGGGATAGATTTTGTTGCAACTTCATATGTATGTGAGAGAGAAGAGGAGCAGAAACACCCCAGTAACACACAAAGAAGGAACACAAGCCTAGAGCCAGAGAAACTTGGGAGTACCCCTGAGAAAAATCTTAGGAGAGAAAGATCTTGGGGGTGAGCACTATCTAAAAGAGGCTTAGAATTATAAACAAAGAAACAGTTTCCTGTCTGAGTCCTAATGTGTACAAGGAAACAGGATTTTATTTACTTTCTTTATAAGAAAGTAGGACTGCATCATAGAAAAAAAATTACTCCCATCAATTTCTCCTCCTAATGGAAACACAAGACTCCAAAAACTGGCTAACTCTTTGAATTAGCAAGACTATTTCAGTACAAATAAATACATATTCTAAAGTACTTTTTTCAAGTACCAATCATTCAAGTTCACTCTCATGGTATCTACATTTCACTTTGTTAAATTCTCTCATGTGACCTTCTCAGGCTGGATTAAAAATTTATTATGATAAACTGAAAAAAAGTTTCTGTAGTCAAATTTTATGTGGTGTATATATTAGAGAATGCATCTTCCTCATTTTGTAGATGACAAGATGGGCTGACATTTCATTCATTTAAAAGAAAAATCTATAAACAAGCAAAAATTAATGCAGCAGTAACCCTTATCTGCACCTTCATAAGCAACAATTTACACTTCTACTAAATATCAGCTATAACTTTTAGACTCACCGTGCACTTGTTTGGCTTCTCTCCTGAATGAACTCGCATGTGAATCAGCAGTTTGTAACGGGCATTAAATGGCTTGTATCTTCGAGGACATCCTGCCCAGAAACACGTGAAGTCCTCTCCCTTTCTCTGGTCTATATGAATCTTTTCTATGTGCCGCACAAGTTCCTCTTGCTGCTCATAAAGAGCACTGCAATCTATCCAACGACAGCAGTGTTTACCATTAAAATCATCTAGCTCACCATCCTCATCTAATAGAGGGCCCTGGCCAGAAGGAGGCAAAGAAAGTTGATGGGAATGACTTAAGAGGTCTTGTTGATTATGGTGCTGATGTGCATGGTAAGGGGGTGGCGGACCTTGTGGGGGAGGAGGAGGTTGTGGCAAAGGTGGAGGAGGAGGCAAATTAATTGTGCTGCCTGAAAAATCATCCACACGTTCACTTTTTAGTATGTTCATTGGCTGATTGTCTACCAGAGGCATCCCTTGTTGAACCACCATGTTGTTCATGATGGCTGCTTGCAAGCTACTTTGCTCCAATTGCTGCATCCGCTGGTATTCCACAGTTCCATTTTCACTGTAAGCTGGGAGGCTGACATTGCCATTAGCCATGAAAAGACCTTTTTGAGTGTTTGGAATAGAGCAAGACTGGGGGATACAGCTTCCTCTTACTCCCAAAAAATGCCCATAGACCTCAGGCTGAGGGGAGATGTTTGCTGGTGATGTCCTTGAACCATTTATGTAGGCAACCAGAGAGGTTGGGGATGTACGGATGATTGTGTTGAAGTCAATCCCAATGCCATCAGATAGAGGGGACAGAGACAGGGCTCTTTTTTTGGAGCGAGCTGAATGAGACCTTGTTGAGGAATGGCGAGGACTAGGGTAAGGGGAATGGTTATTTTCCATGCCAAACAAGTAAGATGGCAATGAGTTTGATACACTGTTGCTCGACATAGATGTTCCAGGTGGCAAACTCAGTATGTCCCCTAACTCACTGCCATTTTGGGAGCCTTGGTTGGAAGGAAGATAAGGAAGAATCCTGTACCCATGAGACCATTCTTGTTTCACACTTGGAGTTGACTGACTTTCTGACAGGCTTAAAGTTGTGGAGGCTAAAGACTCACGTGACATGAGAGACCTGGAATAAAGGCAGAAAAAACAATGATAGTGGTTTTAGAAAGAGATCTTAGAAGTTCAAGGCACTAACTTATATTTGTTCTTTTGTCTTCCTGAGTTAAGCACGTAATGTTTTTGGACCATTTTTTTTAAATGGTCTTTAACTGTATGTGTTCAAAGATTTGCATCCTAAATTACTCCATCCACAGGCACATCCTAGGATTGCATGCATAAACGAGATATCAGGGCCGTTGGGTTTCTAGCTAAAGGAACTGGAAATCTGTAAAGCATTTCAAGATTTGGGATGAAAATTGATCCAAATGTCCCTGGCTTTGCACAGCTGAAATCAATGGGAACTTTATCACTGACTTTGGGAGGAGAAGGAAAAGACATTAAGTACAAAGCTTTGTGTTTCCACTTCTTATTAAGCCAATATTACTTTGTGTTAGGTGTACTGCCTATCTATCTTTTGACAGTAGAGGTAGAGAAGAAAACCAGAGGTTGATCCACAAAAAAAAAAAAAAAAGGGCTAAGAAAAAATTATAGATTATAGTATGTGCAGGATGATTAACAATAATAATATTATTTATAATTTCAAATAAAACAAGTTACAAGCTACGTCTACTCTGCAGTCACCATGACACCATTGTAGAGACTTCAGCTTGTGCTAACAAACCAAAATTCTTGCTAGCTTGGGCACTGCCAGTAGCATAGAACAATATCCTAATTCCAGTTAAATGAAGAATTCTATCACTGAAATGAGTGGGAGCAGGGATAGGAATAATGGTTCATGTGATACTCACAATGAATAAGATAGTTTACCAAATTTCCATAAATGATGCAGTTGTATGTTGACTGTTCTTGACATGATTCTGTTTGGTACTACAATTTTTCATCCCTCAAGGTTTGTAGAATTTTTAATCTGATTATTAAAGCTAGGAGAGTGCATGAAATACAAGGCAAGGCCAAGCAGGCAAGAAAAAAAAAATAGGTGGATTCTGACACTAGTTTGTACATTATTGTTCAGTTTCAAGCTGAAAAGTCCTCCATGTGCTTGTTTTTATTGCAGTACTTATTCTCCAGAGCCTTGGAAGCACAGCTTGGGTGGCTTCTATTACTTAATATGACAACATTTTACAGTGGTTAAGAGTCAACTGACAGGGGAAATAAATCAGTTAAAACTAATTTCAGATCGTTAAATTCTAGATTAGGTCATAACAACAAAGTCTTATGTGTTGGGTACCACTCTTGAAGTATTCCAGGAATGGAAGTGAGGCTCAGGGAACTACAATTTCCTCCCTGTTCTCTCTGCTCCATGCACTAGTCATTTGCAGCTCCCCTGTCTGTGGTATAAGCAAGAAAGGAGTAATAACATTTGATTTTTATATGCTAATTTGTGGAAAATAAAACTGGGAGGGGAGTTGGTTTGACTAATTTGGAATGGATATTTTTCCTCTCTAAGTCAAAAACTGCCCATCCTTTTAACACACATTTTTTTTATAAAAGCCAGGCACCATTGCCATCAATGCCTCAGTTTCAGTCCCATTGAGAAAGATAGTGAATTTTTTAAGTGAAAAGGAACACATACTGATTCAATTTAAATGAAGTTCCATTTAAAAAAAATTAAAAAAAAAAAAAAAAAAAGGAGCTCTGGGCCAAAATTTCAAGCATCCACAATTAAAGTCAGATTTTCATAAGAATTCAGCTCTCATTTAAGCATTTAAATAAGGACAAGCTTTTGAAAAAACCTCCATACTCAAATGCGGAGTTCTTTGAAAAATCTACCCTGGAGCTGTCAGTTAATGTTTTGAATATATATCTCTCTAGTGCAGAGTTTAGAGATCTGAAATACATATATAACAAATAGTTAGGTTCCCAGCTGATGTTAATCCACACATTCTTTTGCTTCATTTTATGTCAACAGAAGATTTGGATCAGAACCTTTTGGATTTACTTACCAGCCGCTTCTGTTTACGCAAAGAATTACCATTATTCTCTCTATGTAAATGCAGCTGTGCTGTAACCTAAACTGTAGGTTAAAACTTAAGAAATGAACATGAAACAACAATGAAAACTGTTTTCTTTTTCTTGCATATCATCATTGAAGTTCAGCATTCTTTCTTTTGACCTCAGAGAACTCTGCATTTTTTTTAGCTTCTGACCTGCTTTCTCATTGAAGTAAATGGGAATTTTATCATTGATTGAAAAGACAGCACAAAAGGGTTCAATGCAGTGCCTATGGTAGAGGTTCTTCTTCCCCATATAATACAGGGTTTCTCAAAAAAAACTTACATTTTCTGGAACAAAATATAAATTTTGCTGATTTTTCTTTCCATTGGGAAAAGTGAAATGAAACATTTTGTTCTGAGTCAGTTTAATATTAAGCTGTGTCTGATTGAGCTTCCACAGTGCTTCATGGGAGTCCAAGTGTGGTAGAGTGAAGGAGATACTGAGTGTGTCTCCACGTGCACTTTAATGCACAGTGGACTATTTTACTGAGCATTGAAGTGGCACTTAAAAAACTATGGTGGTATACTAATGCACAGTGTCACCACGGGGTCCTACAGGATGGCTGTGATCTTCCTAAGGCCCCCTTACAGTGCCAAGTTGGCTCTATGCGCACCCTCAATTCTCGCCTGCAACGTTTTTGATGGAAAGGGAGGCTGCCTTTACGCCCTCTTGGACACGGTTTGCTGTGCACTCTGACCTCATGGGCTCCTGGACCCCTTGTGGGTCCCGTTCTGCAATGGGTGTTTCAGGGCACCCTAGCCTTATGGGCTATGCGTGGCTCCAACCACCCCTTTACCACACCCCAAGCCTTGCAGATGGAACGGACATTGTTCAGTCTGGGCCTTGTTATAAATGTAGCCGCCTGGTCCTCCCAGGGCTCTCCGTGGCCCTGTCTCGCTCTGTGCCCTCTCTGGTGCTTGGGCTCTCCGCGGCCCCAAATGCTTAGCCCTCTCTGGCGCTTGGGGTCCCCACGCTACCGTGGGTCCCCTATGAGGCCTCCTCCTTCCCCTAATAGCCTCACCCAAGCCACCGGTTTTAAACAGCAAACAAAACACAAGCCCCTGGGCTATAACATAAACTCGAGCCGCCCGGCTATAACAACATCATTCAAGCCACCCCAGGGGTGTTCCATCCCTCACCAGTGTTAGAAGCTATACCTGTAGTCAGACCTCTCCCTTTTGCTTGTTCTGGGAGAGCTCCTTCCCCCTTGGCTGCTGGCAGGGAACTGCCCTCCTGGTCTCAGCCCTGGGGTTTATATGTGGGCCAGGCCCTGCCCCTTCCGGTCAGCTGACCTCTGGCAGGTGTGGGCCGCTAGCTCCCTCTCATTGCCCTGGTAACCAGCAGCTGGGGCTCCCCACCCACTGCTAGGGCTCTCTCCCTAGCAGTTTCCACTCTAAGAAGCAGGGCACCTAAGTGCCCTGCGACACACAGTAAAATAGGCTACTATGCATTAAGCATCACCTAAAAAGTGTGTGTGTTGTGCTCCTTCACATTAGGACAGCCTAATGTATATTGCCTCACACTGGAGGTACTACATTTAATGTGTATTAGGAAAAGTGCATTAATGCACATGTAGATGCGCCCACTGTTCAGCAGAGGAGCATGTGACATAGGGGACAACAAGATCATGATCTATCCAAACTAAAATCTCTCAATAGCTTGTAAGGACATGTATAGGATAAAGAGTTAATTTGGAAAATCAAAAAGCACAAGAGGTTCTTAAGAAAGGCAATCTTTAGAGGTGCAATGATGGAAATCCTCTCTTCACAAAGTATCTTATAATAGAAAAAATAGTCTAATCTAGCCTAGTCAAATGCTAATATTGTTTTTAACCATATCGAGATTCTTCCTGGGCTTGCAGTGAGGTAATCTGATGCAAAAGAAGATATATGAAAAATAGCTGTCTACTGTAAATAAGAATATTACACTATAGCACTACATACAACAGTTATACGCTGTATTTTAAAATCTTCAAAAGTGCCAAGGTCACTTAAGACATTAAGTCATATTTTCAAAAGCATCTAAGTAGGCTCCTAAGTGACCCAGGTGCTATGAAAATTTTATCAATATGACAGGGGTATACTGTATTAGTAACGGGATGGTATAAATAGCATGTCTTCTTTTTCTATAATGTCTATGATCCTCTAATACTTATTTTTATAACCTCAATAACCATACTGGAATGTATATATCCATGGAGATAGTGTATCATGAGCTTGACATCAGTGTTGTTTACTAGACTTGGGAACATTACAGCTTCATACCAAGCATAAAATATAGAGAATCTTTGTTCCAAAAAATTGTAGGAATTTTTTTTTTAATTTCTATCCCATAAATCACTTCTTGCACTATAACTTTTTAAACTGGATAAATATAATTTTTGTGAAGTTGTGAGCACAGCATCCAGTAGAAGAACTACAAAGCATGGAAAAATTTGGACCAAGTTTCACTGTTAGTTACAACGATCTACACCCAGAGTAGGTTTGCTATATACACAATTCCTTTGGATTTCCCTTATTATAAGAGAGTGTAATTTGCTCCATTACACTTTTCTGAAAAAGCTGCATGGTAATGAGCTATTTGACAGAAAAAATAAACATATTTATCTGTAATACAGAAGAGAAGAAATGTAACTCAGGACCTTGTATCAGAAGGAGGTATATTCAAGCTGGAAGTATTCATTGCCCTCTGTAAGCTAGGACTGATGTGGTTGCAGGCTGTTGAGACCTGGTTTGCAGGAGGCGATATAGGTCCCAGTCGCTGAACTGTCATAGGGCTGCTGGTGACTACTAAATTGTTGCAGCTGCCTTTTCCAATGGACTTGCACCGAGGCCCATAGCCAAGGCTTCCTAAAAATAAATGAGGTACATTAATATTCATGTCCCTTTACACAAGAAAAAATAAAGCATTCACATTATATTGCATCCATCTTTATGGTACCCATTGAAGATAAATTATTGGAGCTGCCCAGGTTGGAGGAAAAATGGTTGGGAGCCCTATACCTTCCTGTGTAAATAAATACTCTGAAGAGGAATCAGTTCTGCATACCACTCAAATACAGACTAATGGTCTTAAATGAGAAGAATATCTAGGTTAAGTATTGGGAAAACTACTGTTGGAATATCCTGGGGAACAGAGTAAGCTGCTGAAGAATCACCATCACTACATTCATTGATTACGAATAGCAAAGGTGTTTAATCCATTCCTGCAGATAAACTAAGAGCTCTCTACAAGTTTATTCACATGACCATGCTACAACCAGAATCAAGCTAGGAATCAAATGTACTACACCCAATTACTGGGAGGCCACTCCATTGTGAGTTTTTACTTAGGTAAGGACAAGGCAATATCTTTTAAAGGGGAGCACATGTTGCATGTTTTACAAAATGGGGAAGAGAAAATACTGCCCCTTCCACTGCAATGGAGCTCTAGAAGGAATTCTAGCTGAGTTCATCAAAATTTGGCAAATACATCTACAAAACACTCAAGGTATTCTATATCATAATGGTAACAATCTCAAACTAAAGGATGAAGGTTTAAGTGATTGCTTTTGTTAATACAAGAAAAGATTAATGCATTTAAGTATATGTCATGCTTATGAAAGGCACGTGATATCAAACAAGCAATTTAATTGACAGGGTAGTTAGAAATGATTACCTAGGCTGCAAACAAGCATTTGTTGCACCCAGTCTTGGTCTAGAACAAGGGCGGACAATTATTTCAGCTGGAGGGCCACTTACCGAGTTTTGGCAAGCTATCGAGGGCCACATGGCTATTGAGGGCCATCCCTTGGCAGGTGCCCCACCCCCTAGTCACCATCTTGGGGCTGGAAGTCCCGCCCCCTAACCCCTGACTTTTGCCACCAGAAGTCCCTCCCCTTGACCCCGGAAGCACTCTTTTCAGCAAAGGGGTTTGCCATCTCAGAACCAGAACAATACCAAATTATATTCTAAAAATCAAGCATCTGCAACATTCATTAATTTGATTTCAAAAAATATTTTTGTCCTGATTTACATGTTTCATAGTTTCATATTTTCTAGGGTTGGAAGGGACCTGAACAGATCATCAAGTCTGACCCCCTGCCCAGAGCTTGGCAGCCCTAACCGTAAAGTAATGCCTTCCGATATCAAGCCTGAACCTGCTCTCAATCAATTTGTGGCCGTTATTCCTTGTTATCCCAGGTGGTGCCCAGGGGAACAGAGCCTCACCTATTTGCCACTGGTCCCCCTGGTGAGTTTATAGATGGCCACCAGATCCCCTCTCAGTCTTCTCTTGTGGAGGCTGAATAGATTCAGGCCCTTTAGTCTATCTTCATAGGGCCTGGCCTGCTGCCCCCTGACCATGCGAGTGGCCCTTCTCTGGACCCTCTCAAGGTTAGCCACATCCCTCTTGAACTGCAGTGCCCAGAACTGGATGCGGTACTCCAACTGCAGCCTGACCAGCACTGCATAGAGGGGAAGGATCACCTCCCTGGACCTGCTTGTGATGCATCTGTAGATGCACGATAAGGTGTGGTTAGCCCTACTGACCGCTTCCTCGCATTGGCAGCTCATGTACATCCCGGAGTCAACAATGACTCCAAGATCTCTTTCAGCCACTGTGTTGTTGAGAAGGATGTTCCCCAGCCTATAGGTATGTTGCAGGTTCCTTCTCCCTAGATGCACTTGAGAACAGAATGGAATTCAACATAGACATCTGCCCACCTCTGTAATTTCTGTAGTGTACATAGAGATGATTGTATAAAAGCTTAAAATGAAGTCTTACTCTTGAGCATTGTGAAAGGGTGTGGGGGGTATGGGTGGTTGGGTATAGGTTTGTGAGAGGCTGTGGATAGATAGGGTGGTGGGGGGGTGTGCGGGGTTGGATAGGTGTGAGGTTGTGGGTGTGTATGTGGGGTGAGGGAGCATGTGAGTGTGTGTGGATATGTGGTGTGTAGGTGGGTATGGGGTTTGTGGGGGGGTTTGAGTGTGTGGAGGGGGAGGATGGCTGGGATGTGTGTGTATGGTAGTGTGGAGGGGGTGTGGGTATATGTGTATGGTGGCGTATGCGTGTAGGACTCACCCTACGAACACACACACACACACACACACACACACACTCCCTCCCTCCCTCATTGCTCACAGCCCCCACCGTGGCAGCCACTTCACCATTCCCCAACATGCCCCCCACCTACGGCTTCAGCACCACACAGTTCCTAGCTGCATTGCCAAGACTGCAAGATGCAGCAGGAGCTGGCCTACCCCAGCCAGCGCCACACTGAGTCAGCCAAGAATCACGGGGAGTGGACCAGCTCCTGCTGAGTCCTGTGGTCCAGTGATGCAGCCAGGAACCACATAGTGCTGGAGCGACTGGCCAGCTAGCAGGAGGGCAGGGAGGTGGGAAGAAGCGGCGGCAACAGGCAAGAAAGCAGGGAACTGGCAACAGCAGGCAGGTGGAGCAAGTAGCAGCGAGTGGGCAGGTAGGCAAGAGTACACAATACATGAGGGGGAGCATGGGGCCCACACCGGTGCCCCAGGGCCATGGCTGGCAGGGGCCCGGGGCAGGGTGGCAGGAATGTGGGGCCCAAGTTGGCAGGGACTCTATGGAGCCAGGCCAACTCCCCACTCTTCCTGCTGGTGCAGCCCAGTCTGGCTCCAAAGAGACCCTGCTAACCCAGGCCCCGTGCTCCTGCTGCCCCACCCTGAGCCCCTGCCAGCCCTGGCCCAGGACACCAGCGCATGTGCCACTCACCCCCCCTACCTGCTGTCACCATTTTCCCACTTTCTTGCCTGTCACTGCCACTTCTCCCCACCCTCCCCACCTGCCAAATAGCCACTTCAGCACCACATAGTTCCTGGCTGCATTGCCAGACCACAGGACTCAGCAGGAGCCAGCCTGGCCTGGCCCTGAGGACTGGGACAATCACCCGCAGTCCTCCCCTGCCTCCTGCCCCCATGTTCTTAGCTGAAATTCCCTCTTTGGTGGAGGGAGCCAGGGTACAGCCCAAGGATCCCAGGACAAAAGCCTCTGCTAGCAGAGGCTTCCAGCTGGGGAGGTGAAGCTGGGCAGGCCTTGCTGTTGCAGCTGCTGGGTCCTGCCACCAGCTCCCCCTGGGTCCTACTGCCATTGGTGCCTTGTCATCTTTGGCAGGCAACTGAGGCAAATAATAATTAATTTTCTAAGTGTTTTAGGGGCCCTGCAGGCCAGATAGAATGGCCTGGCAGGCTGGATGTGGCCCATGGGCTGTATTTTGTCTGCCCCAGGTCTAGAAGGTGGTTTACCTTAAGCTACCTAGACCTAGATTAGGAGTGGCATGTACAGCAGTTTGCCAGTACTAGGAGCAGCATGTGCAGCCATTCACTGCTTCTAGAAACTCTACAGATAGCCTGACATAAGAAATATGGGGGGGGAGCTGCCCACTTGGGGACAGAAGGTCAAGAGGCTGAAAACAACCCAGTGAGAATTGGAAGAGTGAGATTAGCACAACCCCAGAATTGGGGCAAGCACCTGGGCTTTCCTAGCCCCTGAGCTGTGCTGTAAACATATATAGGCATTTGGGAGATTAGGTTAACTCTTTCTTAGATCAGGTTAACACTTCCTCAATCTAAGTTAGTGCACCTCCTCAGGTGCACTAACTTAGATCGGGCACACCGTTTCTGGCCAATATAAACCTCTTGAATGCCTGCACAACTGGACATTTAAATTGACTTAACCCTAGTTAGGTTGATTTACATGTAATGCCTGTACATACCCTTAGCTTTTTCAGATCTCTGTTTCCTGTTCCCTGTTCCAAATCCTCCACAAGCAAGGACAACATAATGATGAAGAGGGAGAGAAGTCCCTCACAGGAAATCTTGTACCTTCACTCTACTTTTGAGTTCTGTTGTATAACTCTGATGGACATTTCTTATTAGAGGGTGCTCAAAGGGTTTTGAATTTCACAAAAGAAGCATTTTAAGGCTCTTATAGCACAGGCAGGCTTAAAACAAAAGCCATGTCTTTCATTCTCTTCCAGATCAAATAGGATTCCTCTAACTATTAGTAAAAGGAAACAAAGCAAGTCATTTTAGAAACTACAAATGAAGTTGTAGATATTTAAAAAAAGAGCAAATAAGATTTATCTGCATCAGTTTCCCGTCTCTTTGCTTCTTTGACAAACACTTTCTTTTCTCTTTAATTTAGTAATAATAATACTAAAGAGTAATACTCTTCTATATACGTAAAAAGAATGATCTTACATGTGTAGAAGTCATTAGAGCTTCAAGGATCCTATTGTGCAGTGTATAAAATGACCAACTGTTCTAGTTTTCTGGGCCAGTCTCAAATGTAGGTGATGTATCCCTGTGTCCATGAGGACTCTGTGAAATGGGACTGCTTGTCCCAAATTAGAAAAATATGGTTCCAGAGCAATGCTATCTAGTGCCAAGAGTAATGCCAAGTAGTGAAGCAAGATGCTGCTGAGGGGGTGCAAATGAAGATTACCTCCTGAACCAGAAGTAATATCACCAGGCATCTGTACACACCATGGGGTTGACACTCATTAATTTACCTTGCCTTAAAAATTTTAATACGGGTTATTTTGGTGTATCATGTTTATGTTTACACACCATGGGCTTTCAAGCAAAGTAAGTCCCATGTGTAATTCCCTGCAAATTCCAGCAGAGGAACCTAAATACCAATCTAGCTTCAATTGCCCTGCCCCTACTCCCACCAGCTAAATAAAGCAAAATCCGTGACATCTGGTCAGGTCAGGCAGGGAGGGGGCAGAGCCTAGGGCTGCTGCAGGGCAGGAGGGGTGGGAGTTGCCTCTGAAGGCAGCGGGAGTGAGGGGCACTGGCAGAGCTGGAGGACAGGGGGCTGTGGGCCCCCT